AATTATCATTGAAAGATAATGATAAGAGCAAAAAAGGAAGATAAATTTTAATTGATAAATTTGTGATTTTTCGGTCTATTTAACTTCAAATTGTCGATATAGGTATTTTGGTCTTTTTAAACATTTACAATGTCAAATTTTATAAACTTTTAAAAAAGCTTAAATTTTATTTCAATATTATAAAAATATAATATGCAAAAGTATAAATTTTAAAAAAATATGATATGTAACACGTAAATACACCTTAAATAGATGCTCTATTTTTAAATTTCCCTTGTAATTGTATTTAATTATCATTGAAAGATAATGATAACGACTATTGGCGTTTATTTTTATTACTGGCCCATGTTTGATCAAAAAAGAATTTGTTACACATTTTTTACATGAGTAATGCTATTAATAAAGGACACTATCGGTAGTTGCTCTATATGACATTTACATGACAGTTTGTTATTTGGTGCATGAAATGATCGTTTTTTATTTGATGCAATATCTAGATGCAGATATTATTTATTTATTTTTTTGTTTTCGATTATTGTAATTTACATATTAAAATAAAAGAAAGTTTGGGATTCATATAAATAAATTACATAAAAAAAATGTAAATAAAAAAATTCAGAATGCATAATTGTATAATCTATCATAGATTCATAATATCTAGTCTTGTCAGTCTATTCTCATGCCCCTATCAATTATAGTTTGCTTTTGTCTCCTCTAACTTTTAATAAGCTACTTTACACTTCACCGAAATACAATAATAATACCATTGCACTTATTTATGCAAATTTCTACCTAACCGATTGATTCGATGATAAACAAAAGCAAAAAAAAATCAGGATTTGTCCAAAAACGAAGTTCGGGTCCTCAACAGCCGCATCATTCCTCCCACGCAATGGGTCCTCATGGCCGAGCCTTCTATCCCAACTTCGGTGGTTTCGTATAGCTTCCAACGTGTCAATCAACGACCAGTTACTTAACTATAATTTAGCTCTCGGTTAATTTTCTGCTTCTTCCATTCATGAGTTGGATGATACAAAGTTCGGAATTTTCCGGGACCATGATTTTTCTCTCCTTAAAAAGCTCGCAAAGACAATTGTAGCCTCGAAAATGATACAATTACTAATTGGCTTCTAAATTGCCGAGGGTAAATATTTTTGTCTTCAAAATTCTTGTGTGTAAAATGTGGTCCGATATTAATTAGGACCACAATGTAACAGAAAATGTGGACATGGTCCGGTCTATCTATGGCCCTTAACAACAAAATTGACGTTACAAGAGGAAATTGAAGAAAATTAATGGCTAAGTCCCAAGCACAACACTACAATATGATAATAGACACATTCTTGCACGCATTTGGGTTAAGACGAACATAGGTAATACTTCTAACACATTTTTGAGTTTTAAGGTTTAATGGTTTTTTAATTTTTTTTATTTCAAATTATTAACACCCATTACTTGAGATTACTTAATAATTGAAAAAAAAATAAAATTAGGATCTCAATAATTAATATTCTTGATCATGATATGTGGTTGCGCTTTGGTCCTTTCCAACTTTTTTTTTTCTAAACAAGAGGTCCTATTCGGGGACCATTTGTGACTTTTCCAAAATAACATTGTGGGATCAAAATAGATTTTTTATGCAATTTTCTATATTTGAAAGAGTGCCTAGTAGTTTATTCATCAAGTGTTCTTGTGCCACAGAGGATTACCACTAAGCTATAAGTGTTGGAATGTTTCAAGGAAAATATTTTTTTTAAGAGGAGTAAGATTTTACTTTTCAGGGAATTCACTCTCTTTTTCTCTTATTTACCCACCAATAGAAAGTGGACAAATATAATATTTTTCAGGTTAAAAATTAATCAATTAAACACATTTGATTGACAATTTTCATGCAAATAAACCGCATGATTGCAATCAAAAACGTAAAGTCTAAAAGAATTTAATGAGAATACATATTAGTGGATGAATTTAAAGTGATAGAATTTATTTGATTTGATTTTTATCTATTTAAGTAAGAAAATTCACACACACACACACACACACAGAGATATATATGGTGGATGAAAGTAGCGGTTGCGTCACGAAGTTTTGACATTTTGACTCATTGCATATTCTTGATTATGAATGTAGTGAAACATCAATGTGTAATGTGTCATTATATAAACAAATTGATGGTTTATGTTCACTTGTGAAATAAAGATGATGTGTATCAATGATGTACTGAAAAGATATACTCACGTGCTTACTATTTTAAAGTTGCGTAAAATGGATTTGATTCACCAAATTTTGCTTGTTAATTATAATTTAAGATGCGTTGGGAATGTCTCAAAGTATACGTTAACATTTTCTATTAAATTTTAAGAGCATCTTCAGTGAGCTTTTCTATTTGATATTTTTTCAAGTACTTCCTATTCGAATTTTTGAAGCATTTCCTAGCTATAACTTTTGATTTTGACATTTCCTTCTTTTTTCTTATTAGCTTTGTAAAATCGTCCATAAATGAATATACAATACATTTGGTGCCAATACCATGAATAAAATTAAAGAATAAAAATACGTAAAATATTTATTGGATATATTTATTTGGACGTAAAGTATAAAATATGTCTTTTAAAATTAAATAGTATAATGAACGAAAATATTAAATATAAAAATAAAGAAAGTCATACCTACTAATGATTTGGTACTAATTGAGTGATACATCAAGAAAAATCGACGTCACGTAGTGGAATCATTAAAAGGTCACCTCATTAAATTTTTCCAAGAATTATAATCAATCTATTATCTATATTCACTGACATTCTTAATTGTTAAAGTACTTTCTGCACGTTCAATCTTCAATAATTTGTCAATTGGCATTAATTATCTTTAAATATGCATTTAATATGACACAATTTTGTGTACATTTATCAATAAATAAGAGGATGTTTAGTAGGAATTAAAATTAAATTTTATAGTAGATTGTGATATAAGTTTTTTAAAGGCGTAGCTGAAAAGTTGTGAGATCCATAAAAGATGTTATTAATATTAATTGTTTGATTTTGATTTAGATTAAAATTCAATTTTAATCAAAACCAAACATGCACTAATTTGCAGAGTTGTTAATGGTGCAACCTTTTTACCTAAAGTATATTATTATGCTATTTTTATTTTATTTTTTACATTAACAACACTAATCTTTTTCTACTAAAATATTTTAAAATTATGGTCCAAAAGTTTAAACTAATTTCTAATTGAAACAGTAAACAAGGAAAAGCGAGTTGAATATTCAGATAAGATCAGATATTTTTATAAATTGTTTGGTGACAAGGGGTTTTCTTCATCTTTATTGCATTTTTCAAACAATTTGTAATTACTTTTTCACTTCCAAATATCTTCGAAATAATCTTATTTCACTTTTAATAAAATGATGTGTATAAAAATTGTTTTAAAAAAAAAAAAAAAAAAAAAAAAAAAAAAAGGGGTTGAATCCTAACATTGAGGACTCCCACCGCCCTGCTCCTGAAGTATCATGAGGGGGGTAAATCGCGAGATGCGTCCTAGCAGACTAAGGAACAAGAGTTTGTCCGTACACTAGTGCCCACAAAGAGTTCAATTCCATATCTTAGAAATCAAACCCTCACACTGTGGTTGCCAATAAGGTTGAAATTATCTCACTCATATTCTTTGCACCACTAATTTATGTGCCGGGGGACCAAGGCTATTTTGATATTTGTCGAAATGTATATGAAAACAAGGCTTCTATTTCATTTAAGTTGACCTTTCAGTGGAAGAAAGAGTGACGTCCATTCAGTCAACTTTCCCATATGGACAATGCCAATTTACCGTATGAGATGCTATGCACGAGCTTTACCGGTTGAAAACAACTCGTCAAGTCTTGAAGGGCGATTATCACTACTTTGCCTTTATTTGGGTTACAATTTATTTAGCTATATTTTTACTTTTAAGAAATGAGTGATTGATAAATGAGTAATATTTTGAGCTGTGACTAAAATTTATATTTTGACTTTAAACATAGAATTTTAAGAGAAGAACGTGAAACCCAAACAAAAGCTTAGCCCTTATTTGACATTGTATTTTTTTAAAACCACCTTTTTCACAAATAATACTATTTGTAGTTGCTCATTATCGTAATCGCTATACATGTCATATATATGACGGTTAGTAATTTGTTGTATAAGGTAATAAAAAACTATCACATTAATGTATCAAATCACTAATCGCCACGTGTATGCTACATAGGGCGATTACGACAATGAGCGACTGCAAATAATATTACTCATTTTTCACTCATTTTAATCACATATTCTAAGAAAATAAATTATCTTTTTACATTTTTCATAATTTTTTTTTCTTCACGACATAGTCTAGAAAAATTAACTTTTCAAAAAATCAACTTCTTACAAGGGCTTAGGTCAGAGGAAAAAGATTTTATGGTTCAAATAATAGACATCCTTCTAAAAATGAATTTCCGTTTTCTTAATTATATGTTTGGTAAGGCGTATTGAATCTTCTTTCCTACTACATATCATCTCACCAAACGTTCCAGAAGTGTTTCTATAAGCATTTCTTGTTTTGCTTACAGCTTACTTCATTATGTAGCAAATTATACACAAAATATTTGGTAAATAGAGATAAAAACTTAATATCCAGATATTGTGTGGTCTGACTGAGGTTGAATCTGTCTAAACCTCGTCTTTTTGTACCCTCTCTGCTCTCTCCTCTGTCTGTCTGTCAGTCCACAATGTTGGGTTTTCTTTTTTCATTCTTTAGTAGCAGGGTATCACTACCCCTTCACACCCTCCAACATATATGGGATACTCGAACTACCTTTTTATATTTTCATTTCTACTGCAAAAATCTATCCCCTTGACACATTTGGTACACATTATCGAACTCGATTAATTTATTACATCTTCTTCAAATTCTCTGTGATTCCCATGCGGCCGGACTATTCTTCACCGTCCTACGTGATCCTCCTTTTCCACGTGTATGAAATTTTACTTTTTCTATAATACTGTCAAATACTGTATTGTCGAGAAACAGCTGATATACGAGCCAGCTTTCTTACTATAGTTCAATCCACGAACCTATAAGATGCTTTGGCAATTGGCACTATGCTATGTTCCAAGCTTCTTACCCAAAATAGTGTCCCTCACTTCCATTTCACCATTCAACTTTCCCGCACTCTTTCTTTCCTCCTCTCTCTACATGTGTGTAAAAATTCTATTCTGCTGAAGGGTTTACGTGGTTATTTATTTTCTCTTGATTTTATTTAGTTACATGATCAATACTTTTTCTTAGTGAGTTGGATTCCAATTTTTTTACTTTTTCTTTATTGCAATATAAATAAAGAGGCAACTGTAGATCCATACGGTGTTTCCTGGAAAAGTAACAAAGGGATGAATGACAGATTAAACAGAATTACTAGCCCCAAGAAACCACCTTTAAATCCTGAAAATGTAAGTATTTTTTACTTTTTTCTTATTTTCATTCTTTAATAAGCAATTATTTTGAGAGAACTTCATTATTCCTCATTTTCAGGATATGGTAGATTGCGAAATGTCATTTTGTACTGAAAAGTTAGGTTCTTTAATATCTAAATGGGAATTGGGATCTTTATTCTGATTCTAGAAATAGAGATTTTTGACCTCCTCAATGTAAATGCAAGTGTACTTAGAAAACTTCTCCAATCTGAATCTTTACAGGGGAAGAATATGGAATTTCAGGGAAGCAAATTACAGTCTGCAGAAAAAGCTCCGGCGAATTGGCGCCAGTCGGTCAGAGAAAGAAGACTGGCCTTATCACAAGATGTAATCAAATTTATAAGAAAATGCAAAAAAATTGGTAAATTTTGACATATTTTAATTTTATTCTCATTTTGTTGGTTTTTTCCCTCGACATTTGCAGGTAGAAAAGCTAAGAAAGAAGCTAAGACATGAAGAAAATGTACATAGAGCTTTGGAGAGGGCTTTCAATAGACCATTAGGAGCTTTACCTCGGCTTCCTCCTTATCTTCCTCATAATGTTAGTACAGATTAATTATAATTCAACTTTATTCTTTATCTGACACTTCTTCTTTACAAAGTAGTTGCTCTAATTACAGGTGGCACGTTAAAATGAACAAGATATTAGCTTTTTCTTCTTCTCACTTACTGTCCGCAATATAAAAAATATGAATTATTCTTGGGTTACATAACCCCAAA